AAATGAATTAAATAAAATACTAATATCACGAAGGTGGGTTAGAGGCAAAAAAAGCTATGAAGCAGTTAAAAAGCAAAATTAAAAGCCTCCAAAAAACAAAGTCACAAAAATCATGAAAATTCTTATAAAAAATAAATATTAATAATAAATAAAATACTAATATCACGAAGGCGGGTTAGAAAAAAGATATAACAAATCAATTAAAATAAAATACTAATATCACGAAGGTGGGCTAGAAGAAATAAAACTACGAAGCAGTTAAAAAGCAGTTAAAAAGCAAAATTAAAAGCCTCCAAAAAACAAAGTCACAAAAATCATGAAAATTCTTATAAAAAATAAGGATTAATAATAAGTAAAATACTAATATCACGAAGGCGGGTTAGAAAAAAGAAATAACAAATAAATTAAAATAAAATACTAATATCACGAAGGTGGGCTAGAGGAAAAAAAAACTACGAAGCAGTTAAAAAGCAGTTAAAAAGCAAAATTACAAGCCTCCAAAAAACAAAGTTTCAAAAATCTTTAATTGTTCTTCATGAAAACTCAAGGATTGATAATAAATAAAACACTAATGTTATGAAGGTGGGTTAGAAAAAAGAAACTACAAAAATTTAAAAAGCAAAATCAGTAAAGCCCGAAAAAAAAACAAAGCATAAAATCTCAAAAAGATTTTTTTAAAAATCTTTATAAAAAGACACTTCTTTGGCTTGTATCAAAGCAATATACAATTCCTACAAAAAATAAAATTAAATAAATAATTCATATAATTATAAAAGTAAAAAGTACTTTCATGCTTACTCTTCGCCTATTTTGCCAAATCGTTTTGTCTTCTATACACAAGGTTTTTTGAGAATTTCAAGCCCAAATTTATAACCGTTCTCCAACTAAAACATATAATAAATCTATTTAAAAAAGAAACTATCTTTAACAATGCTCTGTACCTCTTGCTCACGCATTCTCGATTCTGATGCATTCATATATAATGGCAAAAATTACAAAACGTGTGCCAGTTGCCTGACTACTAAAGCTGAAAAGAGAGCTACTAAAAAAGGCATATTGGATGATAATACTAATAATGAAGAAGCCTTTATTGAAATAATCTCTATACATGAAGTTAGTGATTATATTGCCGATATGATTGACAATTTAGAACTTCATAGTGCGCTTCATCTTACCTTTCGTGTTAGACTTGAAAATATATCTGATACCGCTGATATAGACGTTAGAATGATTGCTAAATTGATTGTTGATGAAATTGAAGAAGGAGATGACTATAATTGGGTGTAAGTAAATTATTATTATTAGTAGTGATAAAATAAAATAAAATAAAATAAAAATTATATATTTCATAAATTGCTTTTAATCTTATTTCAGTAGAAGTTAAAAACTGACTGTTAGCGTTAATAGGAATCTTGGGATGCATATTCAAATGCTTTCTAACAAGATCAATAAAATGGTTCCACGTAGTTTTAATGGGCAAACA